ATGAGCTTTTATGTTGTTTATAATGTCTCTCTCTCATGTACTTAGTAGAAAGCTTGTGTACCTGGGTGCACATTAGAATCACTGGAGGAGGGCCAAGCCCGCGGCAGCGCTCCCATCGTGGGTTCGGATCCTGTATAGGGATGACCGGTGCGCTCACTGGCTGAGCGCGGTGCGGCCGGTCTCAAAAAAAGGACAAAAAAAAAAAAAGGAATCACTGGAGGTGTTATTTTGTTTTGTTTTGCTTTGCTTTGCTTTAAAAATCAATGTCCAGGGCTCCAATCCTCCACTGCTTTGATTTAATTTGTCTGGAGAGCACCCAGGCATCAATATACTATTTTTTTTTAACTCCCCGGGTTACTCTGATATGTTTATTGTACTCTATTGAGAGCCATTGGTACTTAAGACAAGTACTGCATACATGCAGTACATCTGGTTTCTAGGATGTGCTTCTTCAAAGTGCTTAAAATGGAGTATAGCTGAGCAATAAAAAATAAAATAGACAAAATTTCTAAGATTTATTACAAGGGAAAGTGTATTATAGATGCTCAGAAGTTGAAAAAATTTTGAGTTAATCAGAGAAAGCTGTCATATGGAAGAAATACTTTCAGGTGAATTACTCTAAAGACACAGAGTAATGAAGTGGTTTGTGCAATTCTAGAGCAAACTTGATTGGCTGAAAGCATTTTCAATGTATTAGACCAATTAAGAATATTTTTATTCAAGCCTAATTCAAGTCTAATTCAGCTGTCAACATGAGTGGGATATTATTCACTGGTGAGGAATGTAACTGAAATGACAGGTTTCATTCAGCCCTTTTATGCTCAGACCCAGGGAGAGACTCTTGAGGGGCCAGCTGGGTGAACTGACAGGGAAAGCATCACTCATGCTGCGACACTGCCATCGCGTGGCAGAATCCAAAATGGCAGCCACTCTGCAGCCTCGCAAATTCCCTGGGGTTCATCCTGTCCTCACAGAAGGGGGCCTGGCACGTCCTTTTAATGTGCACATACATTTACCATAAGAACTCTCATATTTAAGCCTGTCCATTCTGAGTAAAGACTTCCCCAAAACCAAGACCATCCAAACTCTCAGTAAGAGGACAACACATCCACTGCTGTGTGATAAAGAGTGTCTCAACAGGTAGAGGATTATTATCGAACCTTGTTTTTTAGAGATTGGCAGCAGCAGAAAAATCCACTTATGAAGACAGAAACAAATAACAGAAAACATTTCAAAAGGGAGGCTTTAGATGGGAAACGATTGAAAGGTTCCTAGCGGTAAGTGGAGCCCATGTGTGTTGGACTCAAACACAATTTCCCCAATTCTAATAACCTAAGATTGTAAGCTAAGCAGTAAATGTTGGGATCCAAAGACACATTAGAATGCATTCAAGCCACCTTAGAATGTTATAGAAGAAAGCAAAGGAAGGTGACTTACCCAAAATCATTCACGTTTTTAAAAATGAATCACAGTTAAAGAGAAATTTTATTCCAGCTCCTCCTTGCTGGGTTATCAGAGAAGTAAAAAAAGCAAGAAAGAAACCAGAAGTCCTCAATTCTGGCCACACATTAACTTACCTAGAGATTCTAACTTTAAATATTCTGATGCCCAGATAACATTCTTAAGCATTTAAATCAAAATTTCTGGGTATGGAACCCAGGCAGGCATCTTTTTTTTTTTTTTTTAAGTTTCCCAAGTGATTTTCTGTGCAGCCAAGTTTGAGGACCACTAAACCAGAAGCTTCTTATACTTACAATCAGTCCCTGAGTCACAATAAATACACCATTAACAGGGCAGCTCTTCCCTTTTCCTATATTCACCATTCGACTGTCTTTGGCTGCCAGTTACCCTTCAAGACCCTAACCCCTGGATGTTTATCGTAACCAGACTTTGACAAGGGTGAGAGGGGTGTGATGGAGGGGTGACCTGGAGCCTGCTCACAAGTTTCTGATTTCTGAATCATTTAGCCCACTGACAATTTGAGGTGTCTAAGGTATAATATGTTATTCCAAATTGTATCCTCAGCATCTAATATGCCTGGCACATAGAAAATATCTGATAAATATTAGATGAATGATCTTTTTAACCAGACAACACTCCACTGACTTACTACAAACTCTGTAGAGATGATTTGTGAAGGGAGCCACAGGAGAAATGAGGCTAGGGGGTGATCTCTGAGCCAGTGAGTAGCTTAGAATGGGGAACAGTTTAAACCTACAAAGAAGAAACACTGTATTTGTGTTACCTGAAATCCCCAGATCACAGACAGCTAAATTGATAGTCATTATTTCGGCAGGTCTCAGCTTCTTCTTCCGTCTAGAAGACATATAAAGGACATACCCATTTCCAAATGTGGATAGAATCCCTACAAAGGAAAATAAAAATTCCCATCATTAAAACTAGGATTTAGAGTTTGCTCAGATATGAAACACTTCTCAACTTCAAAAATGGACAGCATAGATTTAGAGGGTCATGAGAGGACTCTAAACAAAAATCTATATTAGGAAGATGAAATAAAAAGCATTAGTTGTGAATGACAGGCAAGGGATGGGTTGCCTCCAAAGGGATAGGAGTTAGGGATTCTAAGACTGAACTTACCCAGAAAGAGGAACCTCTAACTTTCCGTGAGGCTCAAGAGGGTGTGGGAATCCCAATGGTCAGTTCTTGTACTGGCCCCCACGGTGGAGTATTTTTCTCAGCCATTTTTATAGATTATTGGCTTTACAGAAATCCCTCCCTCTGATAAGTAAGGTGAAGCCAACCAAAGGAGGTGTCTTCAGTATCACTGCAAACTCCTGAGGGAGCATGATTCAGGAGAGGCGGTGGCCCAATAAGACTGACACAATCCCCCCTGCAAGGAGAGGGTCTTCTCCTGAACACAGAGCGCAGGACTTTGGCCTCCTGAGGAGATATGGATGCTGGTTGTCTGGCAGACAGGACAGCCATCAGGTGCTACTGGATTAGGTATCAAGGGAAAGTGGGTGACAATTGAAAATATGGACACTCCCCCTCCCACCAAGGGGAGAGATAGTGACCCTCAACCCACCAAACCTACCAACCGTGGTAGAAATGTGTTGCCACTTTTTTATATCCTTTTATTAATGACTATTTGGCTTTGGCATTACAATGAGACTGTTCAAAAGTTCTTATAAACCCAGTTTAAATCCAAAAAGACCCAATCCCTACTGACTTTAAGAAAAGAATACACCTACTTCCATAGCTTAACATGTAGAGTAGATTTCCTCAGGAATTCTTGCTTCATAGTGTGGCTGTGTATAAATGAGAATCTGGTACAGCTGCCTTTAGTAGTAAGGAATAAGGAGAGTATTAACAGGAGAAACCCAGATTTTTCTATTTTCATTTCTACTTCTCCACCACAATTCATTTTGGGGGCAGGAAAAGAAATGTGTGTTTCAGCTGATGGTATAAAACCACCTGGAACTAACTGCGTTATGCTTTAGGAAATTCTGACTCCCTGGAGTCAATGCTGCTTAACCTCTGGAGCTTTCTTAAAGCAGAAGAGGTGAAAAACAAAAGAGATAATGGAGTTGCAGAGCAAACCAACTAAAATGAAACTTATGTCTCATTCAAGGAAACCAGCTAGGAAGGCACACTGGCTTGAAAAATTGTAAAACAAATGCCACCTCCTTTGTATCCAAAAAGAGATTAAAAGCAATAAGTATGCATATGCATTCAATACACAAGGCTCATTAAACACCCTTTGTCTGTCTACATCTCTTTTGAAAATATTTGTTTTCTTACTTTTCCTTCCTTAAATTTTCTTTACTAACCATGCTTCATAGGGTTTCACCCAGTGCCCAAAGCATTATCAAAAAATAGCCAACTCTCTATTAGCTGCGTGTAAATTATTCCCACAGATAATCCTATCTGTAGATGAGTGTCAAAAAAAAGCAAATTTATTTTTAATCCTAGTTAAAAGAAACAAGATTAAGAAGATAAAGACTAAATGGGCAGATGCTTTTAGAGTACCAAAATCCTGCATTGTTTTATTAATACAAAAAAAATTCACATATATGGAGTTCCAGTCTATATGGAAGGAGGGTGGAAATGGGTCTCTAATTTATTTCTGCTGCATTTTAAACCCAGATTTATATCTTCATCTTCCAGTGTTCCCTAATATTTTTAGCATTTGCCAAAGCAACTTAAACAGTGGCAAAGTGTGGGTGCTCAATGTATATCTGTGTTTGAAAGGCCGTGGGGGTCCATCTATAAGAAATAGAATTTAAATTAGCAAAACACTAACAATAAAGACAAGGACCCAGGGAATCTCTTTGCAGTAGAATTTCTGATTCAATCTCATGGATTACTTTTGCCTCAAGCACTGACCATAGTGGGATCTCAAGACATTTCTAATGAGTTTGCTAATTTCAGGAAGTTAAATGAAGTTCTTAGCCAGTGATAAGTAGATGAGAGGAAGAGAAAGAAAGGGAGAAAGGGAGGGAAGGAGAGAGGGAGAGACAGAAACAAAGAGAGTAGAGGGAGACAGAGCAAGCAAGCTTGACCCAACATCTGATAATATTAAAGGCAGACAAACCTAAAGATGAAACCCACCTGGCACACTGGTCACCCAAATTTAACACAGCAATTTTAAGAAGAGTATTGTAGTTAAATCCCAATTATCTAGATTAGTGTTGTCCAATAGAAATATGTAAACCAGACATGTGAGCCACATATAGATTTTTAGATTTTCTGGTAGCCACATTAAACAAAGTAAAAATATATAGATAAATTAATTTTAATAATGTGTGTTACTTAGTCTAATATATCCAAAATATTGTAGGTTAAATATGTATCAATTTTTTTAAAAGTCTTAATGAGATATTTTTACACGATTTTTTCCAGGACCAAGTCTTCAGTAGCTGGTGTGTATTTACACTACAGCATATCTCAATTTGAAAAAGTCACAGTGTTCATGCTCAGTAGCCACATGTGGCCACAGCATTAGCCCAGATGCACCACTTGTGGATTATGCACAAAAATCTTTTGACCCTAGACTAACTTCCATCTATCACCAGTACATTTTTTCAACTCTCACCAAAATGATTTCGCTATGCTGCTGCACTGCAGCTTTACTTTGGGGTGAAGTAAACTCAAGGTGTCTAACATCACTGTAGCACCAGGCCAGAGTTTTCTCAGCTGTGAGAAGAGGAGGCTGAACTAGATGATTTCTAAGGTTCATTCTGAGTCTAAAATCTTATGATTACATCAAAAGCAATTTTTAAAAAGTAAAAGCCCTCTGTGTAAATATCATTATCACTAATTTTGGCACTCAAAAGATAAACATACTAACAAAGCAGTCAAAATGAAATACAGACTCAAGAGAAAAAATTTTGCTGTAAAAGTTCTTTGGATTGTCAATGAAATATTTACCGCTAATAATAAAGATAATAAAGAGTCATTTCTATGAAACATTTACTTCATGCAGTAATGCCACCCCATCTTCTGCCTTCCTCCCTCTCTTCACCTCCATGAAAATATTCACATAACTGTTGGAATCTTTTTTTGCAAAATCATGGATTTTCTAAATTCAGCCTTTGCACAGAAGAGTTTAGGAAGCTTACCAATTATTGTTAAGTAAAAGCCAGCCACTAAATCTGCTTCCCAGGAAAGTTTGGAAGCAAAGGGATCCCCATCTCGAAGGTAGTGTGGCAGGCGCTCATCCTGGGGCAGGACAGTGTGGTTTAACGCCATGCCGTTCTTGAGCCACTAGGGTTCTGAAAAGCAAATTGGTAGAGATGTCAACAGACATGAACAAGCCAGCCTGAACAATCTCATAATTGTACCTCCTGTTAAAAAAAAAAAAAAAGCAAGTTCCCAGGCTCATGCATGATCCTCTAATTAATAACTGGTAAAAATGTTAACGTTTTTCTTCAATGATTCAAATGTGTCAGTACTCAATTATCCAGTTTGCAGATTATCCAAGTCTGCATTTTCCCCTGTGCTTACATGCTACCCTCTTAGAGCTACTTCACAAACCTCCCCTGAGTGAATACGAGGTTGAAGGCCAAATCATCCATTTACTGTTTCTTAGCAATTTTTGTAAAAGTCAGAGCTAGGAGAAGATATTGTATGGAGTGTGCACACCCTATACTTTTTCTAATTTGTCAGGGTGTAGTATTTTTTAATTATCTAAATTGCCCAGAAATGCATCTCCATCAGTTATGAAGAAAGACAGCATTGAGTACAAAGAAACATGGTCGCTTCACTAAATGAAGCTTACAGCTGGGGATTGTCAAGGTTATATTGAATTTGGGGGCTATTTAGAAAAGAATGCAATCTGGGTTGTAACTTGCAAGGCTCATCCGCAGAAAGATTTGTTTCTCCAGTTTCCGAAAGCAGAAGTGACTTTGTTATTTCCCACCACTGCCCCTTTATATCCATCAACCATTCTCTGAATTTGCTAATTCCTGCTCCAGGATGCAATCTTGAGCAATGAGGAACTCCCCAAACACACAAGTCTTACTGTTTTTATGGAATTTTGATTTTAAAAGGTTTACAAGAAATCTTTGATGGGCGCTCTGCAAAAATGCAGGTCAGACAAAATTTTTAATACAGAAATTCGAGTGTGTTGTTTCTGAGATAAGCTTGCTGCTGATGTCATAACTTCCTTTGGAATTATTGTTCTTATTTGTTTCAAAAGGGGAGAAATACTCAAGTGGATGTTTCAGTTTCTTTTGAACTTGCTTGCTTCAAATTGAAACAGTAGATGTCACTGTTCAGCCCTCTGGTATGCAATTTGAAGCATACTGGATCAGCCTGCAAGTGAAACACAGTTGTGTGCCTCACAATTGGTTAACAGGGTGATCAATAGAGACCTAAAGATGTAATTCGATCTCCTCAAAAGAGATAAATTTAACCTCTTCCTAACTGCCAGTTTACAGCTTACATAGGACTTTTCAAGGGATTTGTGAGCCTCTCAATGGCCACTTGGCTGAAACTACTGTCTACTTCCACACAGAGTTTGAGGACAGTCATATCATTAATGTTCATTCCAAGTCCTTCTCCTTGAGAGCTATAGAAAGCTATAGGAGAAACCTCTGGCTGCTAATCCCACTCCATTTCAAGACCTGTCCCAAGTCTGAAAGTTTATCTTTCAAACTCCTGATTCCCTTTTGGTTGCCTCTTCTGATAAATTCTCTCTTCACCACAGATTCCCCATGCCCCCTGGCTGTCCAGTCTTGCCCTCCACAAGACTTAGATCCAGAATCATAAGACGAGGGTTTGAGTTCAGCTTTGACACCCACCTTCCGATCTTGAGTAGATTATTTAAATTCTCTGAACCATAAGCACTTCATCAGTAAAACGGGCAATGTCATTCTTATCCATCACTCATGCTTGTTATAGGAGCAATAGGGTATTGAATTTGAAAGCACATTGTAAATGTGGGTGCTAGGAGGGGGGACTGTCTGATGATTACATGCTGGGACACTTACTTTTCCTAAACTTGCCCATCCACGAAGATATAGCTATTTATGACAGATTTCCTCAGGGTCTTAAGCATGCTTGTGTATTAATTCAAGTACTTATTGAACATCTGTTGAGCCTAGAATGCCTGGCAGAGGAGTTGCTTTTGACACAAAATATGTGAACTTATTTTTTCTGGATTCGTCAATCAAAATCTGTGCTATTGTTCAAGTGTGGAAATAAAGTATTTAAGGGCATTTGCAGTTCTTTCTAAAAATAAAACTTACATAGTTTCCTGAGGCAGAGTGAGAGAAAGAGGTAGAGAACTCTAAATACATTGGTTATTTGGGGACTCTTCAGTCTCCCTCATAACCCATAAGCTCATTTTCATCTCCACACTCTGAACATAGTTTTTCCCTATGTGTAATATCTGTTGCCTTTTTTCTCAGTCTAGCCAAATTCCATTTAATCATAAGTCTCCTGTCCAAAGTCTACGTCCCTCGGAAGATAAATCTGCCTCCTTCAATAGCTACTATGGCACTCCTAGGGGCACTTAATCATGCTTAATTTACTTAATTTTTCCTCTTATTTACCTACACATGTATTATTAACTTCCAGTCCATAAAGAAAGAAGTTAGAGGGACCAATGAATACATAACAAATTTTCTCTTTTCTCTAAAAAATGTTATCTCATTTAATGCATGGGCATTGTGGATAACCACTTATGCAAAGTGTCTGAAAGTGTCCTGACCTAAATGGTCTTCCCCACTGGCCTGCTCTGGCCTCTGAAATGTTTAAATTTTTTTTAAGGCATTATGACCACAAAATTTCTTTCCAGAGATATATTATATGAAAACATAAGATATGAATTTATCAGCACCAATGGAAACTTCAACATACAGGAGTTTATGAAATTAGCCACTTGATACCTAGCAGAAGCCAGCAGACCTGACAATACATGTGATACAGGGTATGTCAATTACGGCACAGAGGAGACACATAGAAACAATGTAGTCTATGGTCTGAGAGAACATGGAAGGCCATGAAATGTCCAGAGAATTAGCAAAGAAGCACCCAAGAACAAGGGAAAGGATGTCAAAGAAAGAAGAGCAGCAAGAATTGAAATAGCTCTAGGGTTAAAATTTATGGTTAAGCCTTATAAAATGTAAGCAAAAAACATAGCTTATTAAATATTCAGAAGTCTTATGACTGGTTTACACAGGTCTTTGTCAAATGGGTTATTGTTTGTTTTTACTACCATCTTAAAGGATTGCCTACAATAAGCCTACGGGAGAAAGGGTTTGTGATCAGATTCATTTTTATATCAACTCCAAAAATCTGTGCCACCCCCTAGACTAACATCTTACGGTACGGGGCCAACTAAACTTCGTTCAACCCCAGCCCACGTGAGTCAGCCAGCATGGGCCATGATTGTGGGCAGGATGACTAGGAGGTAGGGTTCTTCCTCTGTGCTTTGCTCTGGCCCCTCTTCTCTCCCCTCTAACCTCATGTTTTGCCTTCCACATTTGAGTGCCACAGTGGTTTCATGCATCTCCTTTTTCCTTTCTTTCTTCTCACCTTCAAATTCTTCTCTTAAAAAAAAGGGGAGTCGATAAATTTTGCTGACATAATATACTTAACGGAAAAAAAAGGATATTCATAATAATACTTAATGGGAAAAAGTTATGAAACTTTTTAAGTGACAGAACAGTATAGAGAAAGATGTCTAGAAATATATACACCAAGGGTTTAAACCTTTATTCCATTATGTTTGGTGATAGCATAATTATTATATACAATGATATTAGGAGTAATTCTTTCTTTTCACTTTTTATTTGGTAGGGAGGGTACTTGGTGATACAGGCACTTTATAATTGCTTAACAGTGTTATATTACTTTTACAATATTCATTGTCTGTATTTTTAATAAAGGATTTGTTACAGATTATTTATAACATCAGTGAAATGTTACACCCATTCACTCATTCATTTATATAAGTATTTATCTACCAAAGATAATGTGCAGGCCCCAACTGAGTACAGGAGTTACTTCCCTTGGGGCTTTGCCATTAATGGGATGCCTTACAGGAGCTGAAACTGAAGTTTTTTCTGCAAGGGACCTAGTCACAGCCCCGAAATCTCACCCACACATAGCAGCTCACATCTGCACTCCAAATTATGTCAGCACTGCCTTGGAAGTGTGTCAGCTGTGGGTCGGAGTTCCAGGTGACACCCTGGGCATTTTCTCCCCAGTAATAGTGTCTCTTCTTGTTCTCTGGATGTGCTATCAATTCAATAAGCATAAGCTATGCTCTTTATAATGATTTTTTTTTTCTGTGTCAGCAGCTACAGGTGATATGTGCATAAAGACATAATATCAATACTAATATGTCATAGATCAAATCTGAATTATAGCGAAAAGTTTTGGTTTATTTGGGCATATATAAGGATATAGTATTTTTGTTTCATACATTAAAAAAAACCCTGAAAGCACCTAGACATGCAAAGTAGCAATCAAAAAACAAAATTAATAGTTTAGGGCTCAAATACTCTAATTCAGGTCTCCAGAGGGATAACCTTTATCTATTAGCTAGTGCTAATGAGATCCTTGCCTTCTCCACAGGGGAGATGTTCACAGCCACAGAGAAAACTAGAAATCAGCGAAGGTTGGCTGTCAAGCAAATGCACATACACTCTTCTGGTTTTTTCTGCCATGGTTCAGTAAGCTGATAGCAAAGAAAATAAAGAGTAGTATTTTTTTCAAGCCACTTACCTAGAAATATGGAGGGAAACATGAGAAGAAAAGAAGGAAAAGGGGGAGGAAAGGATGTAGGAAGGAAGTGAAGGAAGAAGAAAGGAAGGAAGAATATTTTTCTCTACAGAACCAGATCAGCAAGAGAGCAATCAATTCAACTCAATATCTTCTAAGCCAAGTAAAAAAGGAGCAGCGTTGTCTGTTGAGAATAATAACTTCTATGTCAATTTATTTCTAACCAGTTCAGCTTGAAGCAAACTGAAAAGTCTAAAGTAATGGAAGAATTGTAAGCAACAGAGAGATCTGCCTTAATATTTTCTTAGATTGTTAATTTTTTAAAGTGTCAACTGTCATGTAATTACTACCTATTTCACCCACCTCCTTCTCTGAACTTCTGAGTAGTAGGTTTCAAAATAGTTTATGCTCACATTTTTTTTCAACCCATTTCTCCCAAACCAAAAGGGTAAGGCTTAAATTTCATGTAACCCTTAACATTTTAATTGCCGGCCCTCAATAATTTCATTCACAGAACA